GATACCGCGAATTCGTGTGGAACTCCGCCGCGGGAGATCAGCGCAGAACTGCGCGCCGAGGCCGCCGCGGAGTTGGCGTGGCTTGCTCGGGCGCCCGACTGCGCGCGCAGTTTCAGGGCCCCCCTTCCCCCTCGTCCGTTACCACGCGCGCCAGGTTCGATTCGTGCAATGCCTCCGCGGCAAAGGATCAGGAAGCGAGTCGCAGGAGAAGTGGGCAGTGGATCCGCGCACATATGCAGATGCTCATGGCGAATATCGTCGGGGCGCAAGAAGCTCGCTCGCCGGTTGGTTCAAACACCGTAGACGTTTTTGTTGCTCGTTCTGTCGTTGTTCCGTCCGCTCTGGTGGAATTGTTCGGGGTAGTTGGGGGTGCGAAGCTTGGTTCAATCTTGTCCATCCATATGCCAGGGCCAATTGCAATTCCAAGTTCATGCAACCCCAGCACGCACCAGTTCTCGCTTCCCGGCCACGGCATTAAATTGCCCAGGTCAACGCCCCGCGCCGGCAGACGACCACTGCCGCAGGCCACGCTCCTCACCAGTTTGCGGGAACGGAGGAATAATGACATCAGCGGTGGGATGAGCTCTCGATATGCACGCATCAGTTGAATATCGAATTCATGATGTTGGATGCCAACGGTCAAGTTGGCCATGACATTTCAGACCGCTTAGGAGACCAGGGGTGGAAGCAACCGCGAGATTCGGAAGGGGGTAGATTTGTTTCATGAGTTTGTGCTACGAACCTCCTCATGCGCCCCAACTACCCCCCCCCCCCCCCCCCAGCCATGGACGGACATACGTGCGCCAGGTCTGGCGGCGAGCGGCGCCGCCTGGATCTCACGCTTTGCCGGCTAAGCGATGCACAGCGCGTTGCGCGGCATTGGGTAGACCATTAGTTTGACCACGAGGGGCCGCATGAGGACCATTGCCTTGTTTTTCTCTGTCTTTTTCCGCGGTTGTCTTTCGCGGACCACGGGCGCGCCAGGTGCGAGGCCCCTGATTGACCGAGAGGGTCGGGAAACCCGTTAGTTTAATCGCAATATACCACACATTCACCATGGTACTGGAGCAACTGCACACGATCACCAGTTGCAGGCAGCCTGGCGCGAAGCTGCTCTCCAGCGCTTTCCTGTTGAATTAAAGGGGCCCTTGCGTCCGCATATGTCTGCGCCCACTGTAGCGGCCGTCCAGCGTCGCCGCTGGGCCCGTGGAGCGGCGCGGGCACGTCGAGACCACAATGCCCGACCGCTCCTCAACTACCTCAACGTTGAACGGGGTCGCCCCCCCCAATCGTCGTTTCTTGATTTTGACCTGGTCCGGCGACAAACCCCCCTCTCAGGCGAAGCAATTGCTGGCGAGGATTTGCCTTTTCAAGAGGAAGCTTGCAAGTTGGTGGGCGTTTCTGAAGGCTACGCGTGCGACAGCGCGCGTGCGCGCCAGCCGAGATCGGCCGAATCCGTCGCAAGAGGGCGAAGAACCCATGCGACATATCGCCGACAACATGCGTAGTGGGGGGCGGGGGCAGGCGGGGGAACTTCCGTGGGATTTGGGGGAGGGAAGGGCACGCATCCCCAATCAGGCTCGCCAGTGCAAGTGGATCCGCAGGACCAAGTTTTAGTCGGCGACAGGTTGTGGAGTGCAAGGTAGGCATTCGCGCGCGCGGAGCTTGCTTCAGTCGAAGCCAAGACGCAGTTACAGCAGCATTGCAACGAGCGCACTGCCAAAGCACCGCTACCGCCCGCGCAGGATATCCAGCGCATCACGCCCCGCAACAGCATTGAAGGGAGCTTCAAGGAAGCAAAGTCAGGAAAGGCAGCTGGCCCAGGCAAGCTCGGACGCGAGCTGTTCAGATGCAAAGCCAAGCAGGCTGCTGAGCATCGGCACCCCTTATTGGTTGAGATGCAGCTAAGCGGAATCGAACCGTTATACACGATGGGAGGATGGGCAGTGGCTCTCCCCAAGCAAGGCCTAGACAGCAGTTGGTTAAACAAGTTGCGTGAAGTCCCCGTAGCGAAACACGTTGCTAAGCACCGCTTTAAGTTTCTTCGCCCGCGGCTTGGCACGTTAGCTGCCAGTCCCCCGCGCGATTTGCAGCGCGGGGGCATGCGCCAGAGAGGTGCGGATTTCTTGCCACACATGACGCGCGCATGTATTGATGCGTGTAGACATGCGAAGACAACGAGCGGTGCTGTCCACCGGCAGCAAGTCGGCATTCCACGCTGTGCTCCGACAGTTGCTGCTTCCGCTTCTCGGCGCCGAGGCGGAGTTTGAAGCGGCGGCCCACGCCGTGGGCCCCCCGCCACCGCTGAGCCAGGCATGCGCGCAGACGCCGTTAGAGGGCCCATTTAAGTAATAATCGACCAGAACCAAGACGACCCTCCCCCGCGCCATTTCCAAAGGCAGTTGGCCGAAATCCATTGCGACGCCTGGTTTGGAGCCCAGGAGGCCGAAAATGTAGCGCGCCCCGCTGCCGGCACGGGGCCAAGCTCGCCGCCCGCAGAAATTATGTCACCATTGTCTTCTGCCCTTGTGTATGTTGCTGTCACTGAAAGGATGAACGACGAAGATCCCACGATCACGACTCAAGATATAGGCGGGGCCACGGAGCATTTCGTGATTCTTGGGTCGCCAGTTGCATTGGCAGAAGGGTCGTCGCACGCGGATGACCTCACGTCTGCAGGAGCCCGAGATGCCAGCCTACGGGAGCACGCCGCATAACGGACGGCATGCGTAGTATACGAAGAGCTAGCTATCAGAGCGCGCAGGCTTAATTCTAAAAGTGGAAAGGCGGGTACGATGATAATACCTGCAGGCCCCAGAGCCATCCAGATTCGAGAAGAGCTCGAGGCAGCAGGCGAGTACTTGCATGCCCCTGAGCACGACATGCATGCACACGTCGTCACACGTTATGAGCACGTCGGCGACATGATGCGCAGCGACGGAGCCATGCGTCCAGAGTTTGCCTACGGAGGGTAGACACAAGCAGGTGCGGTTGGACCATTGCGCGCCACTGTTTTTAAGGTTGAAGGGCTAGAGAGCAGGCGAAGACTGCAGTCTGCTACGTCTTTCTGGTTAAAGTTCCTTTGTAACCATGCGCGCGCGGTGCCGCTTGACGCCACGACGGAGAAGTTGCCGGCAGGAAAATGCACGTCAGTTGTGCGCGTTGCGACAGAACGGGCGCATGACTATGTCAGACAGACGATGGCCAGCGATGCGGACGCGGATCGCTGTTTCCAGGTACTCCCAGCTTCCGATAGCTTTCGTGCCCGCAGGCTACGGCAATTGCCCAAGTTGCTCAAGACAGGCCCCCATGCTTTCATCTGAATGGTGGACCTTCTAGTTCAAGCGGAGGGTTTCGGCGCCCATGTTCTCCAAAAAGACTTCCAGTGGATGGCCCCACTCGTAGAAGTCCCCGATGAGCTCCAACCCGTAGGCGAAGCTAAATGGCGGATAGTTCTCGTTAGAAACTATTTGCCTCAATGGAAAGCATGTTCCACGGCCTTAGTAGCAGGAGCAGAAGGCAACGACCATTTCTATAGACAGCAACTTAGCCAGTGGCACAAAGTGCCGCGAACGATTTGTAGGCGAACTGGGTTTGGGAGCCAATCATGTTCAGTGCCATTTGAGCCCGCGCGCCCTCTGCCCCACCTCGGCTGCGGCGCGGCGCCCAAAACTTCAGGAGCATGGCGCCGCCATCGCATTGTCCGCCACCTGGCCCTGGATGCAGCGGGAAGCGCGGCGGAAGGCTCACAGCGTCAGTCGCGTGGCAAGGAGCCTGTGAATAATATCAGACTGCCGAAGCATTTGAGGCACGAATCCCCGACGTGCCCAGCAGTTCTTCAGGCGCACTTCTGGCCAGCAAGCGAGCGGGGGATTCCCGAGAGAAGAGTGGTGATGAGGAGCCGCGGCCGCCGAGCAGATTGCACAGAATGCCGAGCAAAGCGCCTCATCGGACCCACACTCGCAGGTTCCGTGCAACGCTGCACTGTGCAACCGACATGCCAGGGAGTCGAAATTCAGCTCGAAAAAGATTTGGCGCTCGTTATTCCCAGACTGCCTGCGGCAATCCGATCGATCGCATGTTTGTTCGAGGACGCTCCAAGCTGGGACGCATTAGTTTCAAAAATGAGCAGTGCGAACTCGGAGATGTCACATTGTAGTGTACCTGAATGCGTAGACGCGTTGGGCAACTCAGAGATCTTCAGTCCAGATTTCGTTCCTATGAAGTTGTAGCTGCGCATGCTCAGCTGTCGTATGAATCTCGGGGGGGCCTACTCAGAGTTCGGCCAGGATGTCCCCGATAATGTATAGAACGAACCAATGTGCTTGGGGCATGCCGTGGTTGCCCAAAAGGTTTTCAGCTGGTGACCCGCGAAGACAACGCAACGCTTCGTTTGTCCATCAGCGTTCATCAGCGTTGCTTACATCCGCATTGTGCAGTTTGCGCACTTTTTTTTTGTGAGTATGCCATGTGTACTGCCAGACACACTGCCATCCCATTTGTCCGAACGTAGCTGCGCCGATGCATTCCAATGGCATCCGAGGGTGTCGCGTCTGGTTCGGCCGCCTCGCAGAGTCGCGGCGATTCTGCGTCAAGTTCGACAAGCAGGACCACCCCGCAGGGTAGTGGATGGGGTGGAATGCATGAGGGGTCGGGGTTGTTTATGTTGTTTCTCTCTTTTGTTTGTTCTCTCTCTCTCTCTCTCTTTCACGCGTTGTGCATGACGTGGTCAGTGCGGCCACCTGATTTCTAGCGTTCGAGGAAGAAAAAGGAGAAGGACAAGGAGGAGGACAAGGAGGAGGACGAGGAGGAGGGGGAGGTGGAGTAGGAGGAGAAGAAGAAGGAGGAGGAGGAGGAGGAGGAGGAGGAGGAAGAGGAGAAGAGGAGCAAGAGAAGGAGGGAGAGGAGGAGGTGGAAGAGGTGGAGGAGGAGGGGATGGAGGAGGGGAAGGGGCGCCGCGGAGCGCTGGCGGGCCGGAGTGCCGCCACCCCGCATTTCAGGCCATCTCGAGCGGTTCCGCCAGCAGCGGCCCCAGCGCTTCGGCGCCGCGCGCAGGCCTGCCTGCCGCGCGTCGTCGTCCTCGTCCTCGTCCTCATTGTCGTTGTTGTCGCCCTGCTCCTCCTCATTTCCGCACTCCCCCCCCGCCCCCCCCCTGTCCAATCTCCGTTCCTCTCTTGTCTCGCGCCTCTGTTTCCTGCCTTGTCGCCCCCGTCCTCGCCCCCGCTGATCTCCCCTTCGCTCTCCTTGCCCCCCCCCCGCTCCCGCCGCCAGCCTTCGGTGGCCATCCTGGCTCGGGCGGTTCGGACCGAGGCCGCGCTCGAGGTCATCTAACGCGCGCAGCCTCGGCGACCGCTCTGGCGCGGCCGTCGGCCGCGCTTGAAGTCATCCGACGCGCGCAGCTTCGGTGACCGCTCTGGCGCGGCCGTCGGCGTTCTCGGCTCCCGCGCCGAGCCCCTCGACGGGGAGGGGCACCGGGCCGCGCAGGCCACATCCTCGGGTGCTCGCCTGCACACTCCACGGCTGGGCGCGGGGGCAGCCGCGGCAGCGACTTCGAGAGCGCCCTAAAGGGGGGGTTTTCGCGACGTCCGAGCGGCGAGTCTTTCTTTGAGGCGGGCCCGTGCAGGTGCTACCCGTTCGGTTTTGATTTGCAGCGGCTGCCCGAAGAGGCAAATGATGATGGGCATGATGTCAATGTTCGGTGCTCTGCTCAGCGCGTCACTGACAGCGCTGGAGTCGCATGAGCACCGCGACCAGCTGGAGCGGGCGTCTCGCCAACACTTGTACGTCTATGCCGAAGCCCTTTACGATGGTCTTCTTAGCCGACCAGTCCTTAGTTCGGCGATGTTTGCTTTAAACACTTGCACGTACATTCGGTCTCGTTCTGGTGTTCTGTATTTGGTAACCGTGGTGGCACCCTCCGGCTGAAATGTCAGGCTGCTTCAGGGTGATCGCTAACCTTGGCCGAATGACGTTGTGGCGGCTCTGACGGCAATCTGAGTGTTTCAAGTCTTGCGTCTCATCATGTTGTTCGGGAGTTTGCCAGAAGATCAGACACGTGTCATGCGAATTCAGTATGCATTTAAATGTCGTGGTTGTGTTTCTCGCGCTGGCGCTTATGAGCAGAAGTTCCCATTGTACTTTGACTGAAGGCTTTCTCGAGTATCCGTGATGCAACGTGGTGAGATGCCGCGACTGTGACAGTTGTTGGCGGTGGCGCCGTGGTGCCGCAAATGGCTGTGGGGAAGCTCAGTGACTGCTCGGCGGAAGGCGGCGGAAGCCGGCGTAGGCGCGGGGCTGGGGCACGAAGATACCCACCTGCCTTTGCTCGCCCTTCGTCGGGCTTCTGGTTCAGCATAGTGCCTACTCCAGCGCCGTCCACACGGTAGTTCAGAGCCCCTCACTAGACCTCCTGCGCCGACGGATCATTGGGGGTAGTGCGCGTGTGTGTGTGTGTGTGTGTGTGTGTGTGTGTGTGTGTGTGTGTGTGTGTGTGTGTGTGTGTGTGTGTGTGTGTGTGTGTGTGTGTGTGTGTGTGTGTGTGTGTGTGTGTGTGTGTGTGTGTGTGTGTGTGTGTGTGTG